TCCCCAGCCAGAATTCTGGGAGTTGAAGTCCACTCATCTTAAAGTGGCCAAGTTTGGACAACACTGGTCTAGAACTTTGCTTTATACTCATCCTGTATCCTACCAGAGTGGCCAGACCCTTCCTGCCACCTGCCCTTGGACTGAGAAGAAAGCCAAGTGGGGTCCTTGGCCACCAAAAACCAGTCTAAGAAAAGGAAATGTTTACTCTTCTGTAGTGGCTAAATTCAAGTATGCACAGTATGAGACTTGGTTCTCACGCTAATGAATGTATTAGTGGTTACCAATGCAATCAGCAGATGCAAGCAGACTGATCTTCACAAAAGGGGTGGGCTTCCAATCCAGTCTACTGAAAAAATGTGAGAGAACAGAAGGTTCTGCCACCTGAATTTTCCATGTCTCAATTGAAAGGAAAATCACACTGTAACGTTAACCCTCCTTCTAATAAATGTTGCCAATCAGAGTTCTAGGAGACTTCTTCTCTGGATTGTTTCCTGTCTTCTCCAGATGGTGGGAGGGAAGGCCGACATACAGCTACTCTCAGCATGGAAAGGGCTGTGCTGTAACTGCTGGCCATGTAGTTTTAAAGTTGCAGTATTTTTTAATTAAATCATTTCATTCACTTTAATTCACTCCACGTAGTTGAATCCATAGGGATGATATCTCAAAACCTGACTCTTGAATGACGCAATCGAAGCCTCCTATCTGGATAAATGAATCTGTCCATTCCACTTCTTTACATATTTAGGTCTGTATTCCTCTTTCCATCCTATTTATGAAGACATTAGCGGGTTTGGTAAGTTCCTATCAAAAATGAACCAAACCAAGTCCTCTCCTCCTCTGCTCTCTTAGCACTAGTCAGATTATTGTTCAGGCTACCAAATCAGTAATGCAATAGTCAGGATGGCAGAAAAGAGTGAGAGTTTTCTGCATCTCTTTGCTAGCACTAAGTCATTGTCTGGATTTTTTTTTTTTTTGCAACCCAGGTCTGTTAAACCATTGTTTTATGCGCAGCATTTCAGACACAGGGCTTTTAGTTCGAGAACTAAAGTTAACAGGAGATTGCATCTGGGACCCTCACTACACAGTCTCTGAATTAGAGTCCTTTTCCATATAACGTCTTCAGTTTGAGCTTGGCTCCTGATAACTTAATGGACATATCCATATTGTTTCCTTTGCGTCAAGGAAGTGGCTTGCCACTGCCTTCTTCTGGGATAATTCTTCTTTACAGTCTAGTGCTGGTGTTCTCCCCTCCAATTACTCACCAGACCTAACCCTGCTTAGCTTCTAAGACCAGAAGAGGTCAAACAGCTGCTCCAACCTGCTGAAATTTTCCCATGGAACCAATAGCCTAATATGATGGCTCTGCTGACTGCAGAAGAATAGCAGTCAGGCTGCTACAGTAACACACAGCTAATCCTCATTTAGCATATTGGTTTCAAAGAAAGATCTCATTCGTTCCTCTTCTTCTCTGTCCATATATATTGGGACAGATGTACCTAAAGCCAGGAGACTATCTGCATCCATTCATAGGACCAGGGATGAAGTTTTCCAGCTGAAAGCTATTTTCAAAGTAGGAGAGTTGGAAATGGTAAAAATGTGCTCTTTTTAACAAAGGAAATGAACAAGATGGAACTGTGATGCTCCTGACAAGAATACAGTAAGGAGTTAATGGAGCTAGCTACCATGGTTTAGAAAGCCCACACAAAGCTTTCTTTTTATCCTGACATTTCTATTATGCAACTGATAGATCATCTTGTGATAAATGAAACAGTATCTAGTTTATTGGGTTTTTTTTTTAAGTTATGTTGGAGGTGCAAATCCAGTAGCCCTATCTCTTCAGGATCTCATCACGTACCAAACACAAGGGAATAGTAGGGGGTAGAAGAGAGTTAAAGGCTTATTCTCTGTCCCCTCTATAATTCTTGCCTGCTCCTTGTTTTTCCATGTTAGAATTTATTTTATTTTATTTTATTTTTTGCCATTTTTGACCATTTACTTTGATTGATTATACTTTGGACATTTTACTCCAAATTACTGAGTGTAAGCTGCCGTGAATTGACTGAATCAAATCAAATCAAATTTTTGAGACTGCTAATTTGAGCTAATGTCCTTCTGCCTTTTTTCCTAGGCATACAGCATAGGATTTCTATTTCCTTGATACATTACATTGTATTTGGCATTACGAAAGATTTTATCTCTTTCTTCGAAGAGAAAAAAATACCCACCCTGTGTAATACATGAATTTTTGAAATTGAATCATTCTTTAGATGTAAGAAAGAGAAAGTGGGTGTGCGTGTTTCTGAAAATGAGAATGTGGCCTGAAAAGTAAGTAGTGTGTGTGTAATACAATGGAAAAGTGTAATATATTCATTGATTTATTTTCTTAAGAAATTAACTCTATTTACAAAAGCTGCACTGCAGGCTGTGTGTTTCTGCATTTCTAAAAGGAGTCATGGGCTATGATGACCACCATGTTGAGGTTCTAAGACATGCAGTTTTTAGAGTAGGATGTCTGGCAGAACGTCTAGTCAGCAGTGGTGCAGTTAGATATTTTTGTATTCTGGATTTAATGAACTCATAGGTGACCACTTCTTTAGATGTTCTGTGGACAGAGATCATGGGAATATGTTTGCTTGGTGCCAGTTTCACATTTGTTCATTTATAAATGCATTCCATTCTACCTCTGCACTAATTTGTGTAGCTATCACAGATCACACTGTTTTTAAAATAAGATCAGGTCTAATAAAATGAGAGCTAGCGTGGTGCAGTGGCAAAATTGCTAAACCAGGACCTGGAAGACTCAGGTCCAGTTCCACCCTCAGACATGGGAGCCATTAGGTGACTTTGGAGCAGTCCCTTTCTCTGAACCCAATCCATGTCACAAAACGGTTGCTGTGAGATTAAATGAGGAAATTCCAGTCTTACCACTCTGAATTTGATGTGATAATACAAAGCAACAGCAGCCTAATTTAAGAAAGTCACACGTTGGATTCAGCCAAAGCCTGTGGTGAAATTTGGAACACCTTTTCATTTACTGGGGGGCTGGAGCAGACAGTCTGAAATGGCTTCACTCCATTCTGCATCTCCACGAAGCTCTGATCCTGGTCTGTTTCTTTACAGCTCTAGGATGTTGCAACACACTTTCATTATTTAACTAAAACATGGTGCGCAGAGATAGCCCAATGGCCCGATAGGTTCGTTTACAAATAAAAATGACTCTTGCGATCAGACCACAATTGTTGCCTGTTCACAGAGGGGAGGGAGAGAGTCCCAAGAGATGATATTTCCAAAATGTTAGCATTCGCCTCACTTCACGGCCATCTGGTCTCCTGTCCTGAGCAGTTGTATGATCATGTTTTACGGGCTACATCTGCTAACTGATCTCCCCCAGCACATGCTTGATTTTATGTGAGTTCATCCTTTATAGTTTTATCTCAATCACTCGATATTCAACTCGTCCATCATGGCAAATTTCATCACATTCTGTCCCAGAACAACGAAATGGCAGGGTCTCCTTTGCTCAGTTACCTTTAAAGGGGTCGAAACCAAAACTGGCTCATTTCTGTAGCTCCTAATAGGATGCTCTGAAGCAAAACGGGGGAGCTTCTGTACACCCCTGACTTAGCTCCCAGGACTTTATTCAATCCTTTTTAAACCACTGGCCATCATCACATTTTCTAGGGGCTAATTTCATCACTAGATTATGTCTCACCTGCAGATCTACTTTCTTTTATCTGTCCCGAAACTGCTTTCAGGTTCCTTGATGACTTCAAGTCCTCGCAGGATAAGAGCACCAAGCTAGTTCCTCCACTGTGCATTATTTTAAATTTAAATAAATTATTTTAATTAACATGCTCCAAATGGTAGGAACTTCCCTTGCAGGGGAGTTTCACTTACACTTATCAGTTTTCAAAGGGGACAGTCGGAATTATTCACAGCTTTCCCAATTTCTTACAATTCACCTGGGTAGAAAAATGTCAACAGTACCAAAATGTTTCGTTTCTCTCCTTTTCTTCCAAATACCTAGCACGGATTTTGTTTTTTCTGCAGTCGTTGCACACTGTTGAATCACCTTTCAAAAAATACCCTTTTGAAGCTGGGCATCGCATCAGATTCTTGTGAAGAGTGTATGGCCTGTGAACTAGCAGTTTCTCTAAAGCTTTAGCAGCATCACTGGGGTCATTGCTGAATCTGAGATTGGAATGTGGCTGAGAATGCAACCAACACCATTTCAGAGTATTTTCAGGTATACAGTGGTACCTCGGGATACGAACTTAATCCGTTCCGTGACTCTGGTTGCAACTCG